ACGCTCTTCCCCTCTCCTCTTTTACCTATCTACCTACCTACCTCTCTAAATACACACACACACGCGCACACACACACACATAAACATATGTATATATATATATATATATATATATATATATATATATATATATATATATATGCATGTATGGAAACAAGTTTTATGGAATTCGTCCGACGACATATGTAATTTTCAAATATTCGTAGAAAATCAGGATCGAAACGATGGACAAACTGCCTGAAGTGCATGTTTGTTGTATGGTTTTTGTACAAGTATTATCGAACATCTCTGTCATTATCAAGAACCATGTGGTAGTTCAGATTGGCTTTAACCATTTTAACCGTTAAACATGACGTCACTTTGGACTGATTCAAATTTCCCGCTCTCATTAAAATACCAGCATGTAGCCGACGGAATCTTGCCTAACACATTGACAGCACACCGTTCTTGATAATGACTAAAACGTCGAAAGTCCTTGAAAAAAAAACCAAAAAAAAAACCCAAAAAAAAAAAAAAAACAAAACAAAAACAACAGAATAAATATGAACTTCGGTCGCTTCATTTTTCGATTCAGAAATGGGAAAAATAAAGTCTAAAATATGAAACAGACATACCTTATCGGTTGATTTAATTAAACTTGTTTCAATGAATACTTGCTGCCTAAATATACTATATATATATATATATATATATATATATATATATATATATATATATATATATATATATTAAAACTTTGTAATCCCTTTCCTCCACCAGCTTAAACTATATACTATTTAGCTTAAAAAAATAAATAATTTATTCAACATCGCTGAGAATGAAGCAAAAACTTTAAGTTTAATTTAAAGTTTAGTTTTTCGTTCCGAAACACGGGGATTTCTGTGTCGCGATGAATATATATTTTTAAATATATGTATGTGTATATGTGTGTGTCTATATCTGAAATATATATATATATATATATATATATTTTTGGATGTAGGCTATCACGGCCGTCCACAGTTTCTTTTTATTTATTAACTGCGAATTACCGTGAATTCATATGGAAAAGGTAGAGTGCTTTCTCGTTGCCTTGATTGTTTTTTCTTTTTTTAATTCAGAGATGCCCTTACGCTAGACTGGATAAATCCAAGTCTACTGTTCTATTTAGACAATAGCTGGAGAATTAAAAGAAGAGTATTTGACAAATTCGTGCGGACACGCCTATCCTATATGCATACACACCTATATATATATACATACGTACGTTCTTTTGCAAGCACCGAGTAAATATTTACAATATTTTTGGTTTAGACCCCGTAAAAAGTAAAAGTAAATGTAATTACGACACACATATAGACAGACGCTTACAAGCACACACACATATATATATATATATATATATATATATATGTGTGTGTGTGTGTGTGTGTGTGTGTGTATATATTGTGTGTGTGTGTGTGTGTGTGTGATTTCTTCTGAGTTTGAGA